ATCAGTAACAACACGCGTACAGCTGTCATATGCACGTAAAAAAAATAGTACCAACACGCCCACAGCTGTCACATACACGAACAAAGTAGTAACAACACGCCCACAGCTGTCACATACACGTACAAAGTAGTAACAACACGCCCACAGCTGTCACATACACGTACAAATTAGTATCAACACGCCCACAGCTGTCACATACACGAACAAATTAGTAACAGCTGCCACATATACGTACAAAAAACCATATTGCACGCCCACAGCTGTATTAAACCATATTGCACGTTTCTGTAGTAAACCATATTGCACGCCCACAGCTGTAGTAAACCATATTGCACGCCCACAGCTGTATTAAACCATGTTGCACGTTTCTGTGAACCGCAGTACCTCGTCCAGCATCTGGATCACCTTGGCGACTTTGTTCTCGAGATTTTTCACAAAGTATGTCTGCAGCGCCTCTTGCTCAGGCACTAGCTGCTCGGCCATCACCAGTTCTTCCTGGAGTTGGGTCAGGCGTGTATGTGATTGTGAATTTGATTTACGTACTTTAGCGAGAGTAGGCAATAGATCTGTTAGTCTGCGGTACATTCTTTGCGATTATGATATGGTTTAAAATTTCATGACAATACCCAATGTGTACATAGGTCTGCAGTACATATTCTTGGGTCGATTTCGAAGCAATCTGTCCGGCTTTCAGCATGCCTTATAAAACCTCCCAACGCAATTTACACACAACGCCTTCTAAGGCCCCGCAGAAGTCGGAAACAGAGATTATCGTATTAATACAATATGCGTTGATTATCTGAGAACGCTATGCACTGTCAGCTGTGAGGATGTGTAAACATGATGATCGGACTGTATATGGATAAGTATACCTACCAGAACAATCGACATGTCTTCTTTATAAATGGTACAACACATGTTTATTGATATACATGTATGTATAAGTAAACCTACCAGAACAATCGACATGTCTTCTTTATAAATGGTACAACACATGTTTTTTTTATATACATGTATGTATAAGTATACCCACCTTAACAATCAACCTGTCTTCTTTGTAAATGGTACAACACATGTTTGTTGATATAGATGTAAGTACACCTACCAGAATATTCAACTCGTCTTCCTTCTGCGTAACCTGGTCATCCAGTCGATTGGAGAGGATGCGTAGCTTGTTAATAAGCGGCAGCAGCGTTTGATGATCCAGCATGGCGGCGAAATCATTCAAACATTCTCTGATGTTCTACATTGTGCAGCGATATAGACAGATAGTGAAGGTGGTAAATATCCATATGTTTGTTGTCGTAATGTTTCTGTATATATGCGCTTGCTAAGGCTGGGTATGCGTATAAAAGTATGTGGGTATATCATTTCTTGTGTAATTATGGTTGGAGGAGTGTGCTCTGTTTGACTGTGTAGAGATATGCGTGCTAATGAATGTGACTACTGTGTGATGGTGAAGTCTAGCAGGAGAGCTTTGTTATGCCCCGACGATGTTCTGGTGTGTATCCACCTGCGTGTACTGACATGTATATACGAATATATGTATATAGATACACACACGTGTGTTCGCATGTATATATGTATATGTATATCGATACACACACGTATGTTCGCATGTATATACGTAATGCATATAGATACATACACGTATGTTCCGTGAGTGTGCTGTTCATTCTATCGGGAACATCGATCACTTTCACGACGAATACGATCATCAGGAATATGCTCTAAAGGTACCCTACTTGAGTAATATAGTAGTCCACAAACCAGATTATATCAGTTACAATCGCAACTAGATCGACTGTAGATTTACACAGGATTCTATCTGCCATTTGTTCTCATATGAAAGCCCTATCAGAAGCACCGTGAGTATCACCCAAGGTACAGAGAGGGCCCTCACATCTCGATGTGAGAAATGTGAGGGAAAACTACCCTAACTATGCCTTCGACTGAGATCGATGATTGCTTACCGCAATGGAGGCGTCTTTGAGTACCAGACTAAACTGCAAAAAGACGCGGTGTACCTTTGGGGTTTTGACTGCGAGTTGGAATATAGAACAGTGCCGTATGATCAGTGTAAATTGAGAGGTACGAACAATCGAATAGCATAGATATGCCAGCGGCGGGTACATAATCATACGTACACTAAGACGAAGTCGTGAAAATCGCTTCATGTGGCGATGAGGTTTGCTAGTACAGGTAGCTGTATAGAATTTAAATGTGTCTAGATGACAATTGACGTTTGGATATAATAATACAATGTTTGTGGGCTCTATAGCCGGCGCTAGTATCGGATTCGCTTGTCTTTTAGAGAAGGGAAGGATATAGAATAACTCGATGAGCTAATTGCACGACACGCCGTACCCTATCCACACGCCCACACGTTACTACTCCAAAAAAAACCCCCCACCGGATGAGACGACGGCAATTCATTCAGTGAGACAATTTGATCACTGCGTCTCAGTAAAACAAACTACCAGGTCCAAATGAATAGTACAATAGGCTCATAACGCCACTACTTCAAAACACCTCGGACGAGAAGACGGTGCTATATTCAGTGAGACAACTTCATCACTGCATCTCAGTAGGACAAACTACCAGGTCCAAATGAATAGTACAATAGGCTCATAACG